ATTGTACCAAGTCAAAGACAGTGATTATTACCAGCTGTTCAACATTACACTGGTTTTCCAAGCATGTTTTGGGAAAAGACAGAAAGAACTAAACTAAGAAAAGATAGAAAACATTAAAACAGCATTGTCATAACTCCCAAATATTATGAATGCCCACAATGAAAGCTAAATGATATGGGTAGACAATTTTAATATTCAGAATTTCCTGAATTTCAATTTATATTAAATCATTAACATGTCTATGGTGGTATTTTATTCGTACTGAAATGTGATTTTAATTGTATGTTAATAAATAAAGTTGCCCCAGGGGTCAGAGCTATTAGAGCCATAGCAAGAGCGTGGCGTTGGTGGCGCACACCTTTAATCTCAATACCATAGAAGACCTGGAAGTCTCTACAGACAGGCAGTGACAAGGCAGTCATGTGTTTGGGTTTACAACCAATGAGAAGGCAGAACAGAAAGACTATATAAAGACAAACACACAGGAAGTAGGTCTCTTTCAGAGAGGGAGGACCACCGCAGGAGGAAGGGTAAGGTTTTAGCTCTGAGCTCTGACCTCTTCGCTTTCTTCTTTACATTGGTTCGGTGTTTCTTATTTAATAAGATGATTGGTTACATCTACACATGTCTATATGCCAGATATAATGTTCATAAAGTTTTCAAAATATGTAAAAATCTATATAATGTCAGTTTTGTAAGGTTTATACTTAAAAACTTGAGAATCAACTTACAAGGTTCCCTGAATCTCAGCTAATATGCATGATTTAACCTAAGGTGGACAATTTGGCAACTATTAATTATGTTCTAACTTATTAGCCCATTTTATAATCCAATTTTTAAACTGTACATACTTTCTCTTCATGTCCATCAGAAATAATACAATGAAAGAATAGTGACACATGATTGTAAAAGATAAGCAAGAAAAACACTCAATTGCTTAATAACAAGTTAGTAATTACTATAAAGATTCTATATATATGAACTACTAAATTAATATGACAGAGATTTTTATTTATTGAATGGGATTAAGAACTCCAAAAGACAGCACAAAAATACAGAAATTTAATTTGTACTAGTCAACACTCAGATAAATGGACGAAACAAACTTCCACTAAACACTATCGAAACTTGAACACACATTCAGCAAAAACATAAATAATTGCCAGTCAGCTAAAATATAAATAATTGCTAGATTCTTATGTTCTTCTATATGAAAATGAACATGTGGATTTAGGTCTTAAATGTACAGGATAAAATTCTCAAGCTTTTAAAAAGTGGTACAGATCATCAACATTGGCATGACTTATCCTTAGGAAATTGTCAGTGTACAGGTGTGGAGTTTAAACCTCCAAGCAAAGCACTAGAAGAGATGCAGAGGTTTCAGGCCAGGACCTCACAGTGAGAATAAAAAAGAGAACAGAAAAGAGAAAGCAGGAAAAGGGGAAGGAAAGATGGAAGGGAGAAAGGTGGAAAAGGGGAGGGAGGAAGGGAGAGATTGAGAGAATTTAACCAAGTTATAATAAAGAACTATTTCATAACCTACACATGCAAAGATGCTTTGAAAAGTTTGCAAAATATGAGATAATACATTTCACTACATTAGCCACCAAAGTACATTATCCAAAACAAAATGATGGCTCTGTATAGATTCATAAGGAACATTGGCACTGTATAGATTAATAAGGAATGGAATGGAAAAATAAAAATCAACTTAGAAATTACTAAGAATTTTCCCTGAATAGAAGAAAAAGAGCTTATAATCACAAGAGACTAATCTCATTAAAATGGATAATATGCAAATTGTAGTGATTATGTATAAATTCCATTACAATTAATTGGGGAACTACTACCACAGGATGAAGTGCTTACTAGGACATGCAGCAATGGGAAGTCAATCCATTATTCACTGAAGAGAAACTGCCTATGAATTTTGGAGAACAATTTTCTATGGCCAACGATATGGCTTCTTCAAACATACAAATATACTATTTGATATATTCTTCAGAAAATATTGTCTTTAGCACAAGACCATACAAAAGTGTTTATAGAAGGAGTACACATGATAACTAAAACTTTGAAAACATCCAAATGACCACAAAGAGAATATTCTAGAAAATTAACGGTAATGAATAAACTGGTATTACACATTGACATAGATTAACTTAATAATAATAGTAAGTGGGGAGCAAAAGTCATTGTGTATGATTTGACTTTAAATAAATTCAAACACAAGCAAACACGGCAGAATGTGCTTAAGGGTAAATACACAGGTGGTAATAACTATGGAGAAAAGTAAGAGGGTAAGCGTGAAGTTTCAGTCTTAGAGGAGACACAATGGCACATGTGGCCTGGATATGGCACATACAGATGTTTATTTAATTTTGAGAATCTAGTCATGTGTGTCTGAATGATTGAAAATGTTTTCATTTAGGATATATTTATATATCCCCCAGAGATCCATTAAACAGCCTCAACATTAGTCACTTTTAAAAAATATCACGGCTAATTTGTATTGAAAAAGGGCTACATTGTCAGGTTGTTTGAATGCCCGTTGATCCATATAGAGATAAACCACAAAATAGGTTGTATGAAGCAGAAATAATGGGAAAGTGCTAAATTTTGTATCTAAAATTTGTTTGCACAAACTGGAGGTATAACCATTCATGTAAAATTAATTAACATGATTTAATATTTACAGGTTTGGAGTCTGGAATGTTGACCCAGCAATTAAGAGTGCAAGTTGCTCTTCCAGAAAACCTTAATTTAGTGACCACCACCAATGTCCAGTAACTCACAAATATCTGTGCTACAGCCCCAGGTTCTCTGATGCCCTCTTCTGACATGCTTGGGTACTGCACTCATATGCACATGCACACACACACACACACACACACACACACACACACACACACACACAAATAAAAAATAAATTTTAAATATAATTAGTTATTATTAGCTCACACCTAAATAACTGTTTAGTTTACATAGTATTTATTTATTAATTAGTTAGTCATTATTGAATTTCTGCAAGTAGAATAGCAAAGGAACAATTGATTTGCTATGTATATAGTTCACAAAAGGAAAAGCTAGAATTTTAACCCAGCTGTGTCTTTGTCTGCTAGATCTGTCATTACTCCACATTAAAATATTACATTACTTTTGGTGTTAGGAAGTGCTACAGGAAGATTGAGAAGAAGTGGATCTTATCTAGCTCTTCATGGTGTTAGCTAATTGATATTCATTATGTTAAGGAGACTTAAAGACTCAATGTTCCATAAACTTTGGCTAATATCTACCAAAATTATTCTGAGATTCAGCAATATGCTTGGTACTAAACCTTCATTCAACATTTTTGATGACTTTATTATTATTATTTTGTTACAGATTCAGTTGACAAGGTTCAGTAATGTCTCCAAAAAACCTTTTGTGTCCTGAAGCATGAGGAACAGATGGTCAGATTAATACAGGTGGACTGAAGCTGACAGAAATAAGGGATGAGAGGATTAACAGGTGAAGCAGGTGGTGAGGAGAACAGTTTTGTGATTTTTTTCCTTGGCTCATGGTCAATGGAGGAGGGGGAAGAGGATATCTCGAAGAGATCGATTCTCTTAAAACAGAAATTATCTTTGGAACAAGTTGCTTTTGTGGAATAGAGAGGTGGGTTATGCTTGATAAAAAAAAGAAAAGAAAGTGAGAAAAGAGTGAAAGGAGCTATAATTAGAGCAGCTCTACCTGACATAGAACAGCCCTCTACAATGTCAGGACAATGTAACACTCTCGCTGCAATTATCCTGAAGGGATGGGTTTGTAGAAGGCTGACCAGGATGACCTCATACTGGGTAGTCATAGCTATGCTTCTGACTTGACCCAGATGCAGTACCTCACTGCTGTTCAAATATCTTTCCAAACAGCAGTTACCCTATTTCTGTGACTCCCTCACTGTGAAAGACCAAAGTCACTTTGGCTGAGTGAGAGAATGAGGACTGCCTGGTATGTGCCATCCCCTTCCATGGATTTCTACTGATGCGTTTTGCTGAATTTTTAATTGCAAAACTGCATTTTTTTCAATCTTTTTTACAAGGACTTTTCCTGTAATTTCTTTCTGTTAGCTGTATCACCTGGCTAGAATGCTACACAAATTCAAACCTAGTCGGTTCTATTGAACTGTTAGTTCAAGTATCACCAACTTCAGATTTCCAGATGCTATAGTTTATGCAATTGTTACAGCCAGTTAAAATGCCTAAAACTTGTGGCATGACCGAGTTGCTTTGCATTGCCATTTAGATATAATTTACCCCAGTGTGTGAATCTGGCTCCTGTTTACCAGGTCATGTCTCACTGATAAATAGATATCAGATAAATAACCCATAGAGTTATTTTCAGGGCTTGGAAATACAAGATAATATAGATGTGACAATTTTCAATGACCTCTTCTGCAGCCAATAGGAGGCCATTCATTATTTGTCTTGTCTATGCAATTCCAAGACATTTTGTTGCTGTGGGATAATGTTTTGTACACTGGTTTAATAAACTGCTGATTGGCCAGTAGCTAGGCAGGAAGTATAGGTGGGATAAGCAGACAAGAAGAATTTTGGGAAGAGGAAGACTGAGTCAGGAGATACCAGCCTGCCATCCAGGGAGCAGCATGTAATAGCAAATAGGTAAAGCCACAGATCATGCGGCAACATATAGATTAACCAAAATGGGCTGAGTTTAAGTGTAAGAGCTACTCAGTGGTAAGCCTGAGCTAATGGTCAAGCAATTATAATTAATATAAACTTCTGGTGATTATTTTGTAAGAGGCCACGGGACTGCAGGGTCAGACTGGGATACAGGAAATCTTCTGGCTACATTTCATTTCTGCCCATTGTTGATCCTCAGTGTTCCCATAAGACAGACAACCTTACTGCATGCAGAAGAAAAACTGACATGAGAGCCTTAGGGCAACAAATGAAACCTAGAAGTAAAAGCAGCACTTTGTCTTACTCTGAAGTCCGTACCTGAGCGCAAAGCGTCCTTCTGAATGCTTTCGTAATCATGCCAGTCTTTTCTTCTCAGACCATCTGTCCATGAATAGAATTGCCCATCTCCCAGGCCCAGTGGAAACGTCTGTGGGAAAGGAAAGCATTCAAGCATGAAAAAGGAGGTATTTTCTTCTGCATGGTTGGTAAACACAGCACGGCACATAACAGGCAGTGCAAGAATATTTGTTATTTAAATGGCTCTTCTGAATATTTTGAGATGAAAACCATTGCGACTGACTGAAAATATTCACATTCTGAACCCCCTTTTATAACATTTAAAATGCGAAATGCCCCTCCCACAGCCCCATATCATTAAACATTTTATTTGATCTAGAGACTTCGTTGAGTACAGCTTATCCTTCCTAGTTGTTTCCATTTGCTTAATGTGTAGATATTGACCTGCTGAGTTAATTTTGTTTGTGACTGATAAAGTTTTATTTATGTTGGTCAAAAGTATTTGAATGGTGTTTTAATAATATTAGTAACTGTTCACTGAATGCTCACTATGAGATTGGTATTATAATAAATGCTTGACATACAGAGGTTGTAAGTCCTAATAGCAATCTTAGGTGACAAATCTCCATTTTTCTGGAAATTAGACTGAATCCAAGAGAATTAAAACAACTTTATTGAAAGCACTATGCCCACACCAAACATTGAACCCATTCTTTGAAGACTGTCCTTGTGTCCTTAATTGACACCAAAGTACTGTATTCTATCTGATTCTAGTAAAGTACAGTTTGTATTTATTCTAAAGGTTCAAATGAGCACCCAGACTTCAACTGTAGTCAGGACACATATCTTATATGTCCCCCAAACACAATGTGTTTTGATGTCACCTTGGAAATATCCCTTGCTTACATTGGTAGAATCACATTATTTCATAAATTATGTTCATGGTTTAGAATAAGAAACAAAAATTACTTTGAAAGAAATTTATCTTTATAATCATAGTGTTCACATAAATAGGTTATACATTAAATAAAGAAACAAATTATGCAAAGTAGAAAAAGTCAATTTGTTGAAAGATGAATAAATTCAATTTCATATATTTCCTTGAGAGCATTCCAAGGCAAACAGAATATCTTATCTCTTAGTTTTAGATGTCATTTCCATTGTACATATTTCTTTACCATTACTGTATCTTTATAGCTTAGAGAATAATACAGTGTTTTGAAGGGATAGAAATAAAATATAATGCTTAAAAAAGAACAAGAGGGTTTAAGTCAGAGAAAAGATTTTCCTATTTAGATGACAAGTTTACATGGTTCAGATTTTTCTTGTAATAGTATAGGTCGTTGTGGTAGCAAACAGGAAAAGACACAGAAGAAAAAGAATGGTGAGTACTCTTCAAATAGTAAGAGGAATGAAGATGAAAAGAATGAATATAGGGAAAAAAGAATAGTAAAGTAGAAGAGGGAGGAATTATATGAGGATTGATAACCACCACTTAAAATTACACTAGCAAAATCCAGCTAGACATCATAAGGAACTGAATTCAAAGTATACATCTTTTGGGTTATATCAGCCTTGTATTTATTTATAGGGAACAATATAAAAATCTATATTTTTATAGATAATAATTATTTTAAAAAACAGCTTGCAGATGAACAGATTTGACACAACACTTGGAAATAATTTTGTGAAACACAAACTCTCTCTAGTTACTTAGCATGCTGCATTCCCCTCGTTTTGGTATATTTAAGGTAGAGAACTCATTGTAATTCTTAATTCAGATTTATTGAACACAGAGAGTTGATCTTTATTTTCTCCACAAAAGAAAGGACATGAAAGAGACCAATACATCTGGAAAACCAATAGTTGAATTGTCATGAACTTATCATAAATAGAAAGAGAAAAAAAATCTTGTAAAACAGCCTAAGGATTTGAGGACAAAATTTCAATAACACCTAAGAACAAGAAGCATCAGTTATTCCTGAGAGTAAGGTTAGATGTAATTAAAAGTTTGGAATCTTTTATACAGGGAAGCTGAATCGGGTTTCTATCTCCACCTGCAGCAAGGAGATTTCTGAGGTCCACCCACTCTTCTCACCTACCCACAGATGACAAAATCTGTTCTTGGCTGGATGTCTTCATGTACTGAAAAATTAGGTTTTGTGTCAGTCTGTCTAAAAACCATTACTAACCTACCTGCTCTTTTCCACTGTACTTCCAGAATGCTGTCAGCTCAGGGATAGAACCAAAGATAGAGAAATCCCTGCATGAAGCTAGAATCACAAGGAAGAGATGTGGTACTGGATCCTGTCATACACCCAGTACTTATGAGAGATCCCCTCACCAGTAAACTCTTTATACACAGTGCTTAATGTTACTATTCACTTTATTTGGTTTGTTAGTATGGATATAGAACCAAGAGTTGCCAGACTCCTGAGAGAAATGGTAACAGGTAATTTAAAAGTCTAAAGATATTGCAACCTTGAGAGTACACAAAAACAATACATGCTTAATAAAGTAAAAATTTAATTTCATTAACGCTTTACAGAAAGCACTTCCTTAGAATATGAATGACAGAAAAAAAATTTAGACCCTTGGAAAGGACGCTGGAAAAGTAATAATATGCAAGAAAAGAATAATTATAGGAGAGTTTGGGAAATGAGTGTCAATGCGTTTAAAAACTAGGAAGAAAACAAATGCCAACAGAGATAAAAGGATACAGCAGTAAGGAAGACAGACTCTCCACTTATAATCAGACATGGAGGATGGAAGCTGCTCCCAAAGAGGACTTCTTTGTGAAAATAAAACCTAAACCAAAGAGATAAAATTATCTCTTTCTTTTCTAAAATCATGGGAAAGACTTAGGGTTTTTAAAAGAGATTGAGATTAATTATTAATGTGTATATAAAAACAACTGGGCCTGGGCATGTTGGTTCATGCCTGAATTCCCAGCACTAGGGAAGCTGAGGGAGAAATATCACAAATTTCAAATGAGCCCAGTCTATATCCAGTGGAACAGTAGCCTCCAACAAGTTTCAAATTATAAAAGAGAGAGAGAGAGAGAGAGAGAGAGAGAGAGAGAGAGAGAGAGAGAGAGAGAGAGAGAGAGAGAACAGGCTAGGGAGACAGCTCAGTGGGTAAAGTGAGAGTCACAAAAGCCTAAGGACCTAAGTTTTTATCCCAAACACTCACTTAAAAGGGCAGGAATGGGGACATGTGACTGTAATCCTAGAGTCAGAGTAAGAAGTTTGATTACTCCAGACCATTGGCCTGATGCGGTACCTAAACAGTGGGCTTCAAGTTTAGTGACAGACCCTGTCTCAACATATAACATAAGATAAGCCCATCTCAAGGAAGACACGAGGCATTGACATGTATGGGAGGCATTGACATGTATAAGCCCACCATGCTGTGTAGCATTTTCCTACTAAATGACATGCTCCATCTTGGAGGGAAGACCCTTCAGACTCTCAAATTCTAAATGGAGTCTCCTTAAGACTCAGGAAATACACAACTCAAGAGTATCAGGAAGTCCCCTAAACATACTGAATTCCTTAGACCTTACCTTTCTTGAGGTTGCATAAAAATTAAGAGGGCTGAAAAGGACTCTCAAGTCTTTGGAGATGCTTACAAGTTTTTCAGCGAATTTCAAGGCTCTAGGTTTTGTGATTTCTATTAGAAGTGGGCTAGACTTTTAGTGATACACTTGTCTTTGAGTTACCAGTGCTCTCTAAGTAATCTCTCATTCACACTCCTGTATGTAACACCGTCACACAATAAACTCATCGGTTTATCCAGCTGGGCTTTGCTGTGATCGTTACTTTGGTCTGTCTCTGGTTCCCTCTCTGGAGTAAATAGACATTTGTTCATATCTCCCAAGGAATAGTGTCATCTCAAATCCTACCAAAAAATAAAAATAAAAGTAAATAAAGCTGAGGATGACGACATGCTATAATACAGTACATATGAGGCTGAGGCAGGAAGATCCAGAGTTGGAGGCTAGCCTGGGCTACATAGTAAGTTCAAGGCAAGCCTGTGATATATACTGGTATCTTGCAGCAAGACACAACAACAACAAAAATCAAAAACCCTAATGAAGTGGGAAAACTGAGCCAGTAAATTAGGCTGAAGAGAAAGATTGTAAAAAGAGCAGGATTTTATGCACTATTTGATCTTGCATGAATATCTAACCTGATAAGTTGCTAACTAAAATCAATGGCACAAATATACTAAAAGGAAATAAGTAGATGAAGCTATTTAAAAATATATTTTTATCTAATAGCAAATTAGTAAATAAAACTAATGTCATGACAAAATTATCAAAGGCTAGTAATATACATGTTACCTACAAATTTGAAGCATAAGGCAAAATAAAGATAATAAAGGTTGACTTAAAAAGATAAATAAAGGTTAACATACTCATTCCAGAAATCAGAGCTTGCAAGGAGGAAGGCAGGGTGAGGGAATTGCTGGTTAACATTACAGATACAGAAATTATTGTATAATTACAGTCAAAGGTTGTCTCTGGCAGTAGTTTTCCCTAAAAACAAACATCTTGAATACTGTATTCATTTCTTATGTATCCTTAAGCATGGTCTGTGCTCCTGTAAGGTCAGCTAGCATAGTAAGAATGTTTTATGATGGAGGAGGTATCATGCTGACATGAAACATCTGATACTATGTCTTAACACATGATGTCTGAGGATTTTTGTCTTAGCACTTCTATCTACATCACAGCTTCTCATCAACCAGCAGCACACATAGTTAGAAATGCAGCCCATCAGTCCTGACTCCTGTCTATTAATAAAGGAAACTGGGTAGAAGAGAAGGACTGATACCTTGTTTTCAGGTTGATTCTTGGGCTGACCAGAGTGTCCACTGTGGGAGAGTGACACAATTATCAGAGCAGAAGTTAAACTCATTAGGAGACCAAGGGCCACAATTTATGGAATAGTCTCCTCACTGATGGCCCATATGATTGGGTATTATTGCATCCTTTCTACCTGACACAATGTTGAGTGAAAGAACCTAAATCAATCTGAGTGCATTTGTATAGAAGTAACAATTCTGAAAGCATAACCACCCAGTAAATGACCCATTAGTGATCTGACCTTTCCCCTCACAGAGAAA